CTACCCCCACCTGAGTGTTTCCAGTCCAAAGTCAGCAGACAAGATGCCCCAGATTTTGATCATCTGTGGGCCCTGAACGTGGTCGCCTCTGGAATCAGCAGGAGCTGCGGGTGGCACTGGCTCCACCTGGGAAGTAAGTGGAGTGTGCAGGGGAGGTGCTCCCATTCCCAGCGCTGCCCCCCTTTTCCCCAACCTGGAGCTGACTGGCTTTGTCAGATGTGCCCATCACCTGGACCTGCATTTCCTGGCTCCTCTGCCTGCAGTGCTGGGCCCTCTGGCCCTCGCCCTCTCCCCTCTGCTTTCCTCTGGGTTCCAGGGAGGCAGGAAAGCTCACTCCAGTCCAGGCATTTCAGATGTTCACAACACCCAGAGCCATGTAAGGGAGCATTTCTTTAGGACACAGGGAGGGGGTAATGTGAAGGCCACCTGGGAGAGCTGGGGCTCAGACCACACCTGCCCTGTCTCAGACCCCTACCCTGCATCCTAGCTGCCCGGATGACAAGGCAAAATGCCTGCCCAGCGTCTGACATAGTGAAAGGACTCAATACATGGTGGCTAGTATTATTCCTCAGCAAGTTACCTAACCTCTTGGTGCCTCCATTTCCTCATTTGTAGATTGGGTGTAGTAATAGCACCTCAGAGAGTTATTGGGAGGCTTCAATGAGCTCATACATGGAAGGTGTGATAAGCAACCCAACAGCCTTCCCAATGGGCTCCATTAAGGCAGGGGTTCTGTTGGCTTGCTTTCTTTGTGCACTGCTGTATGTCTAGCACTTAGAACACTGGTACAAAGCAGGAACCCGATAAATACTTGTTGAATAAATACATGTTAGCCATTATTGTTGCCTAGACTAACTTTGCTGTAGGATTTAGGCCTGTCAGAGCAGACCTGAAGGACCGAAGGGGAAGATGCTTGAGGGCCTATTTGTACAAGCGATAGAGAGTTTCCTGGCAGGGATTTTTTGTAAGGAAACAGCTGAAGAAAATAAGAGAACTTTGAGGACAGAGCAAGGAGCAGAGGGCTGTTCTGGGCAGAGTATCCTCTGCACTCACCCCGAGTCCCAGGACACTGCATAAAGGAGTGGACGATTTCATGTGTGCGCCAGAAGGAGCATCACAGAGTTGGTCGATCGTGGCTTCACAGCAATCCAGTGGCTTCATGTGTGGAGGATACTGGCCAGCAGTATCCATCTCGGCTGCAGATGTTCGTCAACATGTGAGAAAAACATACACAGAGACAACCAGGTCCTGTGGGGGACTGCAGGGCCACTTCTCACGTGGGGAGCGCCTTGGCCACCCTCTCCTGGAGGGCGCCATGGCCACTCCTCATGTGGGGAGCGCACTGCTTGGCCACCCTCCCTGGTGGGGAGAGCACCCACTCCCCCTCCGGAGAGGCTTTTTATTGGTTTCGTTTGCATAAGAATTCAGGTAAAAGCTCATTACTCATTGCTAGGAAGTAAGGATCAAACAATAGATAACAAGGAAGTCCAAGGGCCTATTTTGAGTCAGGGTCAAAGAGCTGTAAGACTTTAAAGAACAAACTTACTTCTTCCTTGGACCCTTATCATTCAACTGAGAACATTCTAAACAAAGCAGGTTTCACAGGATTTTACATATTCTTTCTTAGGCCTGATCACCCAGGGAACCCTCCCTTTTCAGCACAGGGCTGCACCACCCTGTCATTGTTTCAGGCTTAAGTGGAGCAAGGGAAGTAAGGCAACCAAGAGATAAGGAGATTTTCTCCTAGACAGTGAGGACTCAGGCTATGTCAAAGTCGAGGAGCAAGGGTCCATCACCCCCTTTTGCTGTAGCCCCCAAAGTCCAAAGACAGGCTCCTACGTGATTGTGCCTGTCTTAGGTCGTTCCCCCCCTTGGGGAATCTTAACCGTCATTGGCTAACTGACCAAGCTTTGGGGTTCAGTTATGAATGAATCAGCAGAAGCAGCGCTCCTGCCAGGGAGATAAGCTTTTGTCTCCTTGCTGGCTTATGGTCCAAGGCCACTCCCTCAGCCTTAGCCTTGGTGGGGGTTACAGCTTCTGATACCAGGCAGGGCAGTTCCCAACATTCATGCTGTTATGGACACTGAGGACTTGGTGGGGGGTTTGGTCAGCAGTGTTAATGGGAGGGTTGAGGCCCGGGAAGCACACCTCTAAAGGCAGAGCACCTGCGAGACTCCTGCCGGGCACTCCAAGGAAAGTCTATAGAAACCGCTGGGGACAAAGCCAGGGAAAGCTGGTTGCTGTGTGTGTGGCCCTGTTTGCATCAGTGGACTGGAGTGGGCTTGGAGAGCTCAGGTAACACAACGTGGAAAGAAGGCCCTGTCAGGGCCGCCTTAGTGCGGAGTGGGCTTGCCACCCCTGGAAGTATTCCAACAGGGGCTGGACTACCAATCTGGGGAAATGCCTCAATTGGGGTTCACCAGAGGACGGTTTAGCTGAGTCTCAAGGTTGCTGCTCTGAAGCTGAAATAACAAGACACAGGGCATCTCTGAGACCACCCATTCCTGGCCCTGCCTCCATAATGCCCTGGGAGCAGAGGTTCATGGGAAGTGGAGTTTGCCCCTGAGCATTCTGGAGGCTTGTTCCTGGCTTCTCTGCACTTCCTTTTGAGGAGCAGGATAGCTTTGACCCAACCCTGCCCTCCCACCTGGGGCCTAGCTGCCCCTTGATGAGACATTGTAATGGAAGGATCCTTGTAGGTTCTAGAGTCAATCAGATCTGGGTTCAAATGCTACCCCCACCACTTCCTCACTTGGCAAATCCTCTTATTTCTCTGAACCTCAATTTATTTTTTTATAATATTCCTTCTAGCAGAGCTTTTTTTTTAAAAAAGATTTTATTTATTTATTTTTAGAGAGAAGGGAAGGGAGGGAGAAAAAGAGGGAGAGAAACATCAATGTGTGGTTGCTTCTCACTTGGCTTCCACTGGGGACCTGGCCTGCAACCCAGGCATGTGCCCTGACTGGGAATCGAACCAGCAACCTTTTGGTTCCCAGCCTGCACTCAATCCACTGAGCTATGCCAGCCAGGGCGAACCTCAATTTCTTTAGCTATAAAATGAGAATGAAAATATTTACTTTCAGCTGGGGGGAGAGGGTGTAGGGGGACCAAATAGTAATGGAAAAATATAATAAAGATTATGTATTTTAAAAAAGAAAATATCTACTTTTCAGAGTTGTTGCAAGAGGATGTATATACTATGCCCGATGCAGAATAGGAGCTTAAAGAACATCCCTTCTCTCTGATGTGCTTCAGCCTGGGGGCCGGGCTGGGGAGAGACAAGAGCATTCCTGGAGAGGATGTTGAATATCAAAATGGCCAGGTGGCATCTTGGGTAACCGCCCTACCTTCTCCAGTCCCAGCTAATTCACCTTTAATATAAAGACACTGGGAAAGAAATTCTCAAACACCTGCCTGCAGGTCCTCTAGACTTTCCTAGATGTGAAAGAACTTCGTAAACCGTGAGTGCCATAGGTCACGTCTTCGAGTTAGTTCTCCGAACTAATTGAGCCTTTCTGCCCCTTGCAGCTTAGCCCCGCCTGGATTTCTAGCATGCCAGCAGTGGTGGGAGGATGTGGGGTATGGCATCTTGCGAAACTCAGAATCCCAGCTCTCTCATGCTTGCTTTGTGACATTGGGCAAGTCTCTGAGTCAGTTTGCTGGCCTCAGAATAAGGACAATTACAGCTGCTCTGCAGGGTCACTGAGAGAACTGACTGGGAACTCACGTGCAAGGTGTTTGCACTGCATAGTAGGTGCTTAATGAATGATGATGAGTATTTTTAAAGTGCTTAGAATGATGCCTGGTACATAGGAAATGCTAAATAAATATTTACTAAATAACTATAAATGTAGATCGATTAAAACAGACACATGTAAATAGATGCAAAAATGGATATAGAGCAAACAGCTAAACTGGGAGCTATACCTCCCAGTCATCTTCTGAAAACTCCTCTGCCAGCCTCTGCCCCCCTCAGTTCTGGCCCCAACTTCCTCTGGCCGAGACAGTGGAGTCAAGGTTTGGGCACTATAAAGGGTGGCTCTTACGTACAAGGAAGCTGAAGATATCAAGAGATGAATTCTATGATTTGTTCTATCTCAAACCCCCCATCCGACTGTTATCCCTGGAGACACCTCCTTTGTGGCAGCATCTTTTAAGAGATTTACTCACATAAACTCTTATACGTATTCTGCCAAGAGCCCCAGAAGGGGCTGTAGGGATAACAATCAGTCACTTGATTTCACAAAGGGAACTGGAAGGACATGGAAAGTGCTGGGGTTTCCCAGTCTGGGCCCGACTCAGCTGGTCTTGAGCCATGAGGTCACATCATAGGAACTGCCACTATTTATTGGATGGTCCCTGTGTGCCCGGGGCTCACGCATCCTACCTAGTGTCAGTGATCACATTAGGTCAGCACTGAACTCTTGTTTGACAGCTGAGAAAACTGAGGTCAGTGACTGGAGGTGAAGTGACTCAAGGTCATGTGGCTGTAATGCCAAGTGGGGATTCCAGACCTAGGTCTGAGGGCTCCAAAGCCATTGAGTGCTTGTCCTGCCCTTCTGAGCATTGAAAACTTTTTTCAAATCAGTTGTCTATTGCCGGGTAACAAATTACCCCAAAACCTAGTAGGTTGTGATTTTTAGCTCACGTAGTTTCTGTGGGTCAGGAATCTGCTAGGGCCTAGCTGGGTGGTTGTGGCTCACGGTCTCTCATGAGGTTGTAGCCAAGCTGTCACCAGGCCTGCAGTCAGTTGAGGGCTGGACAGCCTGGAGGACCTGGTTCCAAGATGGGCCGCCACTCACAGGGCTGTGGCAAAAGGGCCTCAGTTCCTCGCCACATGAAACCTCTCTGCTGGGCTGCTTGAGCATCCGCATGACATGTCAGCTGATGTCTCCCAGAGCAAGTGATTCAAAAGAAAGCAAGGAAGAGGCCATGGTTTGATCATCACAAACCATCATTTCTGCCATTTCTTTTTTGTTATGTAGTTCCTCCTTATGTGAATGCCCAGGAGTGAGGGTCGTTGGAGCCAGCTGGATGCTGCCTACCACGAGGGCATCAGGGGGCTGCTGGGGTCAAGAGGCTCCAGGGAGCTTCATCAGGGTGCCCTGCCTCCCCAACTAGCTTCAGAGCTCTTCAAATTCATGGGCAGATTCTCACATCCTGACTTTTTCCCACAGTCCCCAGCACCATGCAGACTCAGCGTCTCCATGGAAATCCAGGAAGTATCTCACGCTAACATGCTCAGCACTGCGCTTCTGAATTTCCCCAAAACCTTCTCTAAAGCATTTTCCCACCTCAGAAGTGGCAACTCCATCCTTCCAGTTACTCAGTCCAAACCTTTGATATTATCATTGCTCTTCTCTTTGCCTCATTTGCTATGCCAGATCCATCAGCAAATCCTGGTAGCTCTGCCTTCAAACTGAGTCTGGGGCCCAACTGCTCCTCACCACCTCTGCTGCTGCACCCTGGTCTGAGCCCCGTTCTCTCTGCCTGGGTCCCAGTGACTGCACCCTGCTGGTGCCTGGTCCCGCTCCTGCCCCGGAGAGTCTGTCTCCACCCAGCAGCCTGAGAGATCCTGCTGAAATCAGGTAACGACTCTGCTTAAACCCTCGCAATGGCTCCCACAGACTCCCAGGAAAAGCTGCTCTTCACAGTGGCCTGCAAGGCCCGGTGCCACCTGGCCCCCAGGTCTCCCCCCCCCCGCCCGCCCCCCCCGCCCATGCCCTCACTGACCTAATTCTTTCCCCCTGCCCCTCCCCCACTGCTGTGGCCACACTGGCCTCCTCCACACCCCAGGCTCACTCCACCTGTCGCTCCCTCTGTCCCCTCCCTCTGGACCCTCTTCTCTCAGGAACATCCAGGGCTCGCTCCCTCGCATCTCTAGGCTTTATCTCAAACACCACCTTCTCACCCCCTATTTAACTCAGCAACTCTCGCACCTCCTGCACACCCGGATTTATTTTCTTCCACTGCATCCCACATTTTCCATCGAGTACATAACTTCCTAGTTCATTTGTTTGCTGCCCCCACTCTGGAATGTAAACCAAATGAGGGCTGGGAGTGTTGTCCCCAGAGCCTAGGGTGGTGGCTGGTGGTGCTCAGGAAGTCTCATGAGATGACTAGCAGACCCTCAAAAACAGGTTTTGAAAGAATAAATGAAGGGTGATGATGGATAACATACTGCTTACCAGCTGCGTGATGTTAAACGAGTCACCTCCCCTCTCCAAGCCTAGGTTCTACGTGACCAGATGTCCTCAAGGATGTAGTGGCTATGCCAGGCTCGGGCTGTTTGCAGTCCTAGCTCGGTGGCTCTGCCACTCGCCATGTGAGACCTTGGACAGGCCACCCGTCTTCCCAGAGAGGAAAGCGCCTTGTCCCGATGCTCTAAGTGTTTCTGTCCTGGTCAAGGGACAGCTGCGCATCCTGAGCCCTTGGCTTCTGGGATTTTCCAGGACCTGGATCAAGATCTGTTGTGTCTGTCAGTACTTTTCCACTCTGAAAAACCAGTCCCTCCGAGTGCTGCCCCTGAGAGTCAGGGGAAGCTGCCAAAAGGCTCATGGGGGTGACTCCGTCAAGAGAGGAAGGAACTTGGAGGACCCTTCACCTTGTGTGTCTGCAGCCCGTCACCCACGCAGTGAATTACTGGAACCATTCTTTCTATCCGGGGATGCCTTGGAGACCAGCTGGTCCAGAGGCTGCAAACTGGCAGCCAAACACTGGATGGGGCTCAGGGAACGGATGGTTCTGTTTGGCCCTCAGCACGTTCTGAAAGCAGGTTCAGCGTGCCTGCGAGCAGTCGGGGGAGTGAAGTCCACAGAGCGCACCGCTCCACACTGCCCTGCTGCCAGCCGGATTCAGATACCTGCTTTCTTTGCGTGGACCTCTGTGTGGGCCAGCTGTGCACTTCACGGGTGAGACTCTGGGAGAAGCTGACTCCCTGGGCAATCATTTCAGCCTGCTGCGACCAGGATCGTCTGGGACCCTGTCCCGCCAGCAGTTGGGAACACAGTCTGTGTCACCTAAAAACATGGCATTGTCCCCAGGCCCCTTCTCTTCCATTCTTGATCTATCCCCTTATTTTTTTATGAGTTGAAAAAATTTTTATTTATTAATTTTAGAGAGAGAGGAAGGGAGAGAGAAAAAGAGAGAGCAAGAAAGAGAGAGAGACATCAATTTGTTGCTCCTCTTACTTATGCATTCATTGGCTGATTCTTGTATGTGCCTTGACAGGGACTCAATGGCCCACTGGGACAATGCTCTAACCAACTGAGCTCCCTGGCCAGGGCTGCCCCCTTATTTTTTTTATACTCACCCCCTAATCATGCCCATTTAGCTATAAGGTAGGGGGAACCAGCCTGGCTGTTCCCTCTGCCAAGAACATTCTGTCGGCACAGCCTGCCTCATCAGCACCTGCTTAAGGGCCCTGGTCCTGCATCCCCTCCTTTGAGAAGCCTTCCCTGACTGTCAGCCTGCTCCGCCCCAGTCCCCGACCAGCCTGATCTGGCCGTGCCACTGCCTGGACTGATGCCTCTCAGGGCCACCTTCCCTCTAGATCGCACCGCCTTCCTTCCGGATCTGCATCCCGCCTTGGGCTGGGAGCTCCTGGAGGGCAGGGACTGTAGATCCCTTCGCTTTGTGTGCTGAGGGCTCAGTGGATGTGGACACTCAGTCAATGGGTCTTGAAAGTGTAATGAGAGAGTGAGTGAGTAAATGAAGGAAAGAAGGAGGGAGGGAAAGAAGGAAGAGATCCATTCATCAATTTGTTCTTTGTCTTCCACACATTTGCCTGCCAGAGTCCCGCCGTGGTGAGTGCCTGCCCCCGTCTGCTGGGAGCGTGTCACCCTTCGCAGAGAGGAATGCCGGGCCTGGGCCGACTGCATGTGACACTCATCTCGCCCCGCCCCTGGCCACAGCATCGTACCTGTTTCTGCTCATTCTGTTTTGTTGCTGTTGTTCTGGTTTTTGTTGTAAATTTTATGATATAACATACATGCCAAAAATGCAGGTAATCAGTGCACAGTTGGGTGGATTTTCGAAGTGAACACGCCCATGTAAGCACCGCCCAGACCCAGACAGAGAATGTAAACAGGTCCCCTGTGTGCTCTCTTCCAGTCACTGCCACCCCCAAGGGTGACCATTGTTCTGGCTCCTACTTTGTATAAATATGACAATATAGATTCTTACGAGTCTGGCTTCTTTTACTTAAGGCCATGCTTATTCATCCTCATTGCTGTGTAACATTTCATGATATAAATATGCCACAATGTGTTTATTCCTTTTGCTACTGATGGACATTCAGGTTGTTTCCAGTTGGGGGCTGTTCAGGCTGGCGCTCTCATGAGCACTCTTGTACACGTCGCAAGGAGCTCATGAGCACCTTCATGCTGGTACTGCCTGGGTGTGCAACAGCTGGGCCGTAGGCAAGGTGTATGCTCTGTTGTAGTAAAGACTTGCCTTTTTCCATAGTGATTGTGACAATTTTCACTCCCACCAGCAAGCAGGCTGTGAGAGTTTCATTTGTTCCACAGTCTCACCGATGCTTAACGTTAGCTCTTTTCATCCAGATATTTTAGTGGTGGGTTATTTCGTTTTGACCACATATTGTACATCATTGGTGGTCTGTTTGAGCTCCCTCCTTGCAGGTGGATTCTGGAGAACCAGCCTCTCTGGTCCTCGACTCTCGCCATAGTTTGATCTATGGCTCAGGTCCACCCCTGAAGCTCTATAACAGGCCCCTTGGCTGTGGTCAAGGACTCTCTTCCATGAGGGGTGCTCCACCATCACATGACAGCACCCCACAGAGTGTGAACCTCCAAGGGTGAGGATGGGAAGGGAGAGGAGAGGCCTATGGGAGCTTTTCCCCCCAAAGATTTTATTTATTTATTTCTAGAGGTTGGGGAAGGGAGGGAGAAAGAGAGGGAGGGAGAAACATCGATGTGAGAGAGAAACATCAGTCAGTTGCTTCCTGTATGCACCCCAGTCTGGGACTGAGCCCACAACCAAGGCATGCACCCTGACCAGGAATCAAACCCAACAAACTTTTGCTTTGCAGGACAATGTCCAACCAACTAAGCCATGCCGGTCGGGGCTAGAAGCTCCTCTTCAAAGGCTGCACGAGCTTGTCCCCTGACCTCAGCTTAGTTGGCTGGCCACCTGTGGACCCTTTCCAAGTGTTATCATACTTGAAACATTGTGTAAACATAGCAATTAATTAAATATAAGAATTAAAGCTATAAAACTCTTAGAAGAAAATATGGGATAAATCTTCATGACTTCAGATTTGGCAATGGTTAGACATGACACCAAAAACACAGTCAAAGGAACAAACAGATAAACTAGATTTCCTTAAAATTAAAAACTTTTGTACTTCAAAGGATACTATCAAGGGAGTGGAAAGACAACTCATAGAGTGGGAGAAAATATTTGCAAATCATTTACTTGATAAGAGCCTTGTATCTAGAATATAGTTTTAAAAACTCTTAGAACTCAATAATAAAAAGACAAGTAGCCCAAATTAAAAGACAGGAAATAGCCCTGGATGGTGTGGCTCAGTGGATCGAGCACCAGCCTGCGAACCAAAGGGTCACTGATTCAGTTCCCAGTCAGGGCACACGCCTGGGTTGCAGGCCAGGTCCCCAGCTGGGAACATGCAAAAGGCAACCACACATCATTGTTTCTCTTCCTCTTTTTCTCCCCCACCCCCCGAAAAAAATAAATAAATAAAATCTTAAAAAAAAGATGATAGAATTAACTTTACTGGATAATAGTAGCTAATACTTATTAGAAATCCTACAACCTTTAAGGGCATTTAAACACATTCGTTCATTCCACAAACTTTTAAGCATTTGCTATGGGTCAGTTACTAAGAACACACTTGTGGATAAGACAGTGTTTATCCTCCAAACGCTCATAATATAAAGATCACATGTTGTTGAGTCCTACAGTAACCTGTGGAAGTGGGTTTACTAATCCGGGTTGATCAGGACATTTTTGTTCCAAGTGACACAGGACTCACTCAAACAGGCTTGAGCAAAAAAGGGGCTGACAGGTCCATGGGGTAGCTCTGGCTTCAGGCATGGCTGGGTTCTAGATTCAGCAATGTCTCCCAGCCCAGACTGCCCTGCCTCTCGGTTCTTTCTCCTTGAGGCTGGCACTGTGTTGTCACCCCAGCAGCTCCGGGTCCTCCTCGCACAGTGTCCACATGGCTGCAGGTTCACGTCATTACAGCTCTGAAGCCAGTGGGAGAGCAAACCCCTCTTTTCCAGGAGCTCCTGCAGAAGCCCTGCTCTCCGCCCTGATAGCTACCAGCTCAGGGCACTGGTCTGTCCCTGAGCCTCCTGGTCTACCTGAGGAGAGCAATGTCCCGGTGGTTGAAGGTCCCACCAAATGCTCCATGCCCCATCCAAATACACCACCTAAACGAGGTGTGGGGTCTCCCAGACCTCATGGACTGAGAGTAGGGGAGGGGTGGACCCTCTCGGGAAAACTCAAGGGTGTTGTAAGAAGGAGGAGTGGATGGAAGCCAGTGAGGCAGACGACGAAGTTTCACCAGTCTGTCTGCTTTAGAGGTAGGGACAAAAGACACATAGAGAGGTTAAGTGACACCCAGGGCCATACTGCTGGCAGCTGGCAGAGCTAAGACTCGAATCCTAGTCTGCCTGACATCAAGAAGCTCTTTGCACACGGCCATCTGCCCCGGGATAGCCTGAGACCCAGGAAGGAGCCCGCAGTCCCTGCTCAGAGGCCTTCTAAATCGCAACGTGTTGGGCTGTCCTTGCCGCAAACTCAGTTTCAGTCGGCGGCTCCAGAAAAAGAAAGTGCTGCATTCTTTGCCCTGGGAGTCTTCCTCTATCTTTTTTCTTTTGAGAAAAACTTGTCTCTCTGCCAGTCATGCCAGCCCTTGCCAAGGATCCTTCAGCTCCTGACTGAGTTGCTGCTTTACAGACGAGGCCAACAGGGAGGCAGCTGGGGTCCGGAGTGTCTTGCAGAGCAATGCCATGACCCACCCCGGCTTCATGACAAATGCTCAGGAATGGGCCCCAAAGCTGCCGGCATGTCCTCCCAGGCTCCTTTCTTTGCCTGCATCGCAATCCCTCCTGCCAGCTGGCGGGTGGATGGTGCAGCCAGGAAAGCACAGACCAGGCTCCTGTCTGGGGCTCTGCCCTTGTGCCTGGGACAGCCGGGCCTTCTCCAAGGGGCCCTGCCCGGGTCCCCACCGTACCCAGAGCAAGAACAGTCCATTACCCATATGCCGATTCTATTGAGTTTCCTCACACTGAATTAATTCTACCAGTTTTGATGCTGGGGAGGGGTCATTACATTGTGTCCCCCAAAGAGATATGTCCACATCCTAAGCCCTGGTTCTGTGGATGTGAGTTTATTTGAAAATAAGGGATTTCCTAATATAATCAAACTAAGATGAGGTTATGCTGATTAGGTTGGATCTTATATTTGGTGAGTGGTGTTCTTGAGAGCAGAGGGAAACTTAGAGGCAGAGACACAGACACAAGGAGAAGGCCAAGTGAAGGAGGAGGCAGAGGTCGGAGTGAGGCACCCACAAGACAAGGAAAGCCAAGGACTGCCAACAACCGCCGGGAACGAGGGAGAGGCAAGGAGGGTCACCCCACAGGGCTTTCAGAGAGAGCAGAGCCCTGCCGGCACGCTGATTTGGACTTCCAGCCTGTGGGACTATAAGAGAGTGCATTGCTGTTATTTTAAACCACTCAGTTTATGGTAATTTGTTATGCAGCCGTAAGAAATAACCGGGATGGGGGGGGCAGGGGAGACAGACAGAGAGACAGAGAGAGAGAGTTAACAAAGGAGTCTGGGAGCTTGGAAACTCAGAAAGGCCTCAGCAATCTCGGGCTCAGATATGCGTTTGTTCACTTAGCTGGGTGAACCTGGGTAGGTTACTAAACCTTGCTGTGACTGGATGTCTATATGATGGTTGTCTGTACATCTGAGGAGGTGGCCAGGGTCCTTGGTGGGGAGAAGAGAAGACTGGGGCTGGGGGGTTAGGGCCAGGGAGGGAGAATATCGTCTTTAAACACGTGAAGGCTGTCACGAGGACAAGATGCTCCATCTATTCTGTGTGACGAGAACCTCAGGGAAGAAGTGAAACAGGAAGAACAGTCCAGAATCAGGAAAGAGCTTTCTATCAGGACGCCTGCCCAGCAGCGGCGGGGGGTGCCGGGGGGCAGTGTGCTCCCCGTGACTAGAGGAGGCAGTGAAGACGCTGAAGGACTGACAGGGAGAAAGTCACCCCTCACCCAGGGTAACCCTTTCCTTCGCTCCTTGCATTTTTTTATTTCTTAGTTTTATTTTTTTAATTCTATTTTTTAATGGAATCTATTGGGGTGATGTTGGTTAATATAATTATGTAGGTTTGGGGGTACAGTTCTATAACACATCACCTGTATATTGTGCTGTGTGTGCACCACCCCAAGTCGAGTCTCCTTCCATCACCATTTGTCCCCTCTTCACCTTCCCCTATCGCCCCCCACTCCTCTTTCCCTTCGCTCGTCACCACACTGTTGTCTGTGCGCACGTGTGTTTGTTGGCTGGTTTCACTGAAACCCTTCACCATTGTCACTCAACCCCTTCCCCCTCCCCTCGGACAGCGGTCAGTCTGTCCTCTGTGTCTGCGAGTCTGTTTCTGTTTCGTTTGTTAGTTTATCTTGTTCATTAGATTCCGCATGGAGAGCAACCCTTTCCTGTGACTGGCAGGATTTAACCCTGAGCTGCCCACTCCAAAGCCCATTCTCATAACTATGAGTCTCAGCTTGCGTAGCTGTTAGACGGGCGGAGACGGAGCGGAGATGCAATGTTGGAGGTACTTTCTAGCTCTGAAGTTTTTTCCCTCCATGAAACTCTTCATGGTTTGGCATCCTCTAGTCTTTTTCCACAGGTCATGGGAAAGTTGATTATTTGGGATCTGGAAAAAAGTTCCCTAAAGAAACAAACCTCTATTGGGTTTCTCGGGCCTCCCGTGGAAATTCATTGCCCATCAGAGGCCTCAGTCAAAACCCCATCTGCCCAGCTCTAAACCCTCGGGGACTCCCTGGGTGGCAGCCATCAGAGGGGCTGACCCACCGTCATGCCCCACCTGCTCCCCTTCCTCTGTCCTCTGTCACTGGGTTACCAACTGTCCCAGTTTGCTAGGGA